CAGATACAGATAGCTAACCATCCCATAATAGACGAACTCTATGGTCAACCAGTAGACATTCAATTTCAGTTTTGATCACCTTCAACAATGTGCTATAGTCTTTCGTTTCAGCTGAGTACAAACGACGACATCGTTCCCTCCATATGTGGCTCATCCATGCCTGCCAGATTATCCTCCATGTTTCAGCAGCCTTAGTAGCCCATCCGAGCTTGGACACCATCAGAGTCAGCACATCATCCCATCTCTGCAAAGCATGAATCTGCATAAATCTGGAAAAAAGTGACTCTAAGAGCTGACGCACAAATGGACAGAGGGCATAAATGTGATCCTTGTCTTCCACCCCTGCTCCACTCAGACAACAAGCCAAATTACCACCATATACCCAACGTTGCATCTTCACTTTTGTGTTGATGCTTCCTCTAATAACAAGCCAAGTGATAACTCTATTTCGAGGAATAGCCTTGCCCTTCCAAACCAGTTTCCACCATCCTATAGTCTGTTGAACAGGCCGCAGGAGCTACCAAAACCGCTGATAACATCGTATTTGCACATGTTTGCACTCTTGTTTCCTGACCATTTTAGCTCGAGTTTGTGGTTCCTTGTCCTATTTTATGCTAGGTTGTGTTGTTTTGTCGTATCTCAAGTCCTAGCGTGTAAAGGGATGCATAGGCACAAGTTTCGGGTCATTTGGAGGTCAGTTGGCGATTCAAGATTCAAATTACGGGCATCCCCTGCACAATTACAGGCGTAATTGCCTCTGCCCAGATCATAAATGTAATGCGGAGCCAAATCCCTGAGAATGTCTGTCGAAGAGCAAAATACGGGCAAGAGCAGATTGATTTACGGTCGTAATTACATGAATACTGGCAGTAAACTGAAAATGACGACCGTAATTCCCTTCATCAGTGTTAACTGAAACGCGCGTTTTGGGTGAAATACGGGCAGACCATGTTTACAACCATAACTCAGCCCGTATTTCACCCAGAATCGGGTTTATGAGGCAGATTCGAGCCAAAGGTGAGGGAATCGAGTTTTTGAGAAAAAAACAGAGCTTTAGAGAGAGAAGGTGCGAAGAACAAACCCTAGGAGCTATATGGAGCGGATTTCTCTCCATTGAAGCCCATATTGCATCCCCAGGAGTGAAGATCGACATCCCAGGGCAGATTATCCCCATCTTTATGAGTATGACTGCTCTGATTTCTGTTTTCCTCTCTCTCTCTATGGAGTAGAACCTTCTCTCACTTGGGTATGAAGAACCCTAGTTCCATGTGTTAGGAATCTTGATTGTAATGACTTTGTATTGATATACTGATTGATTTTAATCGATTGATGCATGATTCATTGAGTCAATTGAAGCCTGATCATCTTTTCTTGATTTCTGCTGCAACCTGAGATAAAAGATGCAACCTTACCCCTCAACTTCAGCAATTTGTGCCAGTTCCAGGACCCTAAAGTGCATGAGTAGCTCCAAAAATCTCGACCCTTCAGTTTGTACTTGTTAATCCAAGCAACCCACAATGAACCTTATTGTAAAAGAATCAGCCATATATGCCTAGTCATGCAAGCCTGATTCCAACTCCACAGATCTCTAAAACCCATGTCACCTTCTTTCTTAGGATAGGTAATCTTCTGCCAAACTACATTAGCTCTAAGCTTCAAAACTACTCCAACTCCCCATATGAAATTGCTGCTAATCCTTTCCACTTCCTTGATGACAAATTTAGGCAAAAGGAAAACTGACATCCAGAACTGAGTAAGAATATACAATATCGTACCAACAAGCTCAATTCTTCCAGCATAAGAGAGTGCCTTCGCTTGCCAACTTTTAACCTTGGCTACCATTTTATCAATGAGTGATTGACAAGCAGACAAGCTAAGTTTCCCTGAAATCAGGGTAACCCCTAGATAGCGAACAAGAAATTCACCAAGTTTATAGCCATATCTAGCAGCCCTAACTTGCCTCTCTGCCCTTTCAAGACCCCCAAAGAAGACTTCACACTTGCTAGGATTAGACTTAAGCCCAGAAACCTTCTTAAACTGATCCAGAATTCGTTACAGTTCTTGTATCCCATAATTCGACCCATCCAAGAAGACCAAAAGGTCGTCCGCAAAGCATAGATGTGTTAGCTGAATACCTTTGCACATAGGGTGATATGGGAATAGACCCCTAGCAGCTGATTGATCAATCAAGCACGTAAATACCTCCATTTCTATAGAGAATAGATAAAGGGACAGAGGGTCTCCTTATCTAAACCCTTTTCAAGCTGGAAAGTAACCAAAAAGCCCCCCATTGAAGCAAACACTTAACATAGAGGTTCCCACACACATACTAATCCATTTCACAAATCTTTTAGGAAATTTCATACATCTTAACACTTGGAAATGAACTCCCAGTCAACAGAGTCAAAAGCCTTCTGATAGACCGATAATTACACATGTTTTCACCCCTTTTCTGGAGCCGTTTGAGATGTGGATTCTAGTGTTTTAAGCCTATTTCACGCGAGGTTGTACGTTTGTGTCATATTTCAGGACTTGGCGGTGGAATCGAGGCAAAGGAACGAGATTTGGGTCGAAAGGAGCAAGTAAGGCTTGGAGTGTGCTGGAGAGCCAAAATACCCGGCCAAAGGCAGGAATACCCGACCGGGTATTTTCTGGCCATGGTCGGGTATTTCCCACTTTGGGCGTCCGTGAGAAACAGAATGGGGCCCGGGCAGGAGGCTTAAATCCCCGGTCGGGGATTAATGGTCATGACCGGGGATTTTCCCTTCACTGAAGTGGCGCGTTTTGAGCATACCCGGTCGAGACCCAAAATACCCGACCGGGTATTTCGACCGGGTATCGCGATCAAGCAGCAGATTTAAGGGAAAGGAAGGCTAACATTCAAGGGTTCCGAGTTTTTGAGAGAGAAAGCGATTCCTAGAGAGAGAAAGCGACGAACCAGAGTTCCCAAGTGCCATAGCTTGATCTTCATCACCATTGGAGCCCGGCTTGAGCTTGGAGAAGTGCCGATTAACATCCAGGAGCATAAATCCATCTTCACAGTATGATTTCCGTGTCTGAATCTGCTTGTGCTTCTTTCTCTATGGAGTAGTTTCCCTATTCAGTTGGGTACGGGGAACCCTAGATTTGTATGCTAGGTCTGATTGTATGAACCCAAGTACAGAGTTTGTGAATTGATTATATTCGATTGAGGTTTGAATGATTGAATGACTTGAATCCTGATCCAATTCCCGTTGTTTCTGCTTTGACCTAGAATGAGAATATCTGCCTAGGTTGATAGAGTATCCTTAATTGAAGGTAGCGAATTGGTGACTTTAGTCGATGAGCCAATTCGCTATTCTGTACCGAATTCGATTCGGTAGTGGAGGTTTGGCTCGTTAGGGCCTCAATCTGTTTACTCCGGTGGAGGTTAGTCGCCCGCTAGAGACTCAGATTGAGAGGGTCTGAAGACCTTTAGTCGAGACTTCAGACTATTTAAGAACCTTCCGCAGTATAACTTTCATGAAAACTGAACTTGGTAAATTGCAATCCGGCTTAACGGCAGTCTAGGGGGAACCATATCCGGGTGACCTCTTGATGACTCGATATTTGCACATGTTTTCCCCTTTGTTTCTTGATCGTTTAAGCTTGCATTATCGCTTCTTTGGCCTATTTTACACTAGGTTATGTTCCTTTGTGACATTTCAGGCCCTAGCACATAAAGTGAAGCATAGGCGCAAGTTTCAAGTCAATCGGAGATCAATTGGCGATTAGGGAGAAGAAACTCGGTCATGACCTGAAGAAGAATGGATTTATACCTCACTTTATGGACAAATAATCAGGCAAGCTTGTTATGAAAAGAAAGAGGATGAGACTACGAGCGTCTGGGTTCAAACGGCGACTGATTTGGAGTCCGAACGAGGGAGAAACGAAGCTTTGAGCAGGAGAGGAGGAAGAATTACGGGCAGGAGAATTACTACCGTAATTTGGCCTCCCATGCCCGTAATTTCACTGCCGAGAGGAGTTTTGGGTGCGCTGAAACATAACCAAAACGCGTGTTTTGGGCAAAATACGGGCATGGAAGAATTACGACCGTAATTCAGCCCGTAATTCGCCCAGAATCGGGTTTTTGAGGCAGATTCGAGCCAAAGGAAAGGGAGAGCTGGGTTTTGGTTCCCAAACACCCAAGGGACGAACCCTAGAGAGAGAGAGAGAGCAACTTGGGAACATTCTTGGAGCTATTTTGGAGGATTTCTTCGCCATTGGAGCTCGGGAATCAAGCTTGGAGGTGGAGATTGAAGATCTAGATCAGATTTCTGCAGTCTCTCTCTTCTCTATGGAGTAACTTCCCTTCACTTAGGTTTTGAGGAACCCTAGTTCCATGTGTTAGGATCTTTCTTGTATGAAGTTTTGAATGCTATATTGTTTGATTATAATCGATTGAGGCATGATTTATTGAGTCAATTGAATCTTGATCAAATTCTCTTGATTTCCGCTTTAACCTATGATAGATAGAATCTGATTAGGTTAAGAGAGCTTCCTTGATTGATAGTGGTGAATTGGTTGTGCGAGAGTCAATCAATTCACTGCTTTGTACTGGAATTCATTCCAGTAGTGGAGTTCTGTGTTTATAGCCTCAGCTTTCTATCCTGGTAAAGACTAGTCGTCCGCCGGGTAGTTGGACTGAGAGGGCTTGGTCAGCTTAAGAGATTCCAAGCTAATTTAGGATCTTCCGCAGTTTAATCAACAGTAGATCAACCAAAGGTAATTGCAACTTGGACCTAATTGAGGAGCTAGGGGGAATCATACCTAAGTGAGTTCCCAACTTGTAATTAGAAGAGTAGTCAGTAGAGTAGTTTATAAATCAATCCTTAATCTAGTTTGCTAGATAATGAACTGAAGCTGAGTAATAGTAACTCTAGAGACCCGTGGATTCGATATTTATTACTTGTGCCACTATACTGCTGTCCCTTTCATTGGTTACACTTGGCCATTGTTAGGTGTTGTGTTTTGGCGTGTCACCTCTCTTAACCTGAAAACAACCGTTTAGTTGCTTTGCTTGCTTGTTAGTTTAGACCTTCACTAAAGTTTCATTGCTAGATAATATGAATTCACTGAGTAGTCATCATATCTAGGACCCGGGTTGACATTAAAACCCAAACCCGCTATACTACGCTTTAGGAAGTGGTTACACTTGGCCATTTTCTAGAGTGACAGTAGGAGTGAGTCAAGTTTTTGGCGCCGTTGCCGGGGACGGCTAGGTTGTTGAAGAAAAGTGATTTCTGTTACTTTAGCATTTTCATTTTCGCATTAAGTGTTTGTTCTTTCCCACTTGTGCCTTCACGGGTTTGCATTGCTTGATTGTGTGCAGATAGTGCATGACCCGTAGCCAGTCGGGAGGTTTACTGCCGTTGGATCCTGAGATTGAACGCACCTGCAACCAACTTCGGAGACAACAGCGAGCGAGACTGGCTACGGTGGAGCGCATAGACGGCCAATTGAGCAGCGAGTCCGAGGACGAGTACGAGATGGAAGGCGATCACAACCCACCTCCGGCGAACCAGTTCCTGGAGAACGACCCCAATCCCCAGGGAGCTGGGGTTCATCATCATCCACCACCACCGGGTCCCACCTTGGAGTACTACTACACTCCACGGATTGCAGACATCCGCCCGGTCATCCTCTATCCGCCCATTCCTGCAAACAACTTCGAGATCAAGCCATGCTGGATTCAACTCATTACATCCTCTATCCAGTTCCATGGCTTGAAGGATGAGGAGGCCCGGGTGCATCTTTCCCGTTTTCTGCAGCTGACGAACGGGTTCAAGCTGAACGGTGTCCCGGATGACGCAATCCGCCTTCACATCTTCCCCCATTCTCTGGCGGGGAATGCTAAGAGGTGGTTGGAGACCCAGCCCCCATTGTCCATCACTTCTTGGGACGATCTGGCAGACAAGTTCGTGCACAGGTACTATCCGGCATCGAAGACCACAGAGATTCAGCGGGAGATCACTCACTTCCGCCAAGAGCCAGACGAGTCACTTCGTGATGCATGGGAGCGGTACATGGGATATTTCTGGCAGTGTCCCCATCATGGCTTTAGTGATGCATTCACAGTGGGGAACTTCTACAGTGCCCTCACCCCAGATAGCCAGAGGGTGATAGAGTCTCTATGCCCAGGAGGGGATATTCTCACTAAGAATCCACCCGAGCTGAACCAGATGATTAGTACCTTGGCTGCCCGCGATCATTCCTGGGGGCAGAACAGCAGAGGCAGAAATTCCCGGGACCGTGGTGTGCACGCTATGGCGGCCAGGTCCGGGTTAGAGCAGCAGGTGGCTGAGTTGGTGCAGACATTGAAGCAGCCCAACAGTCTTATTCCGGGCCGAGGTTTGGCTACGCCTCCAGTAGCTCAATGTCAGTGGTGTGAGAGCCCGAACCACCGGGTGGAGGACTGCCAGGCTATGCGGGAGTCCTCTACTCCCCAAGAATAGTTGGCCTTCATCGCCAATGCTCGGCGCCTCGATCCATACAGTAACACATACAATGAGGGGTGGCGCCAACATCCCAACTTCGCGTGGAGTAGCAACACCACTAAACCACCTGGTTTCCCGGCACCAGCAGGTGGTTTTCAGTAGAGGCAGCCTTTCCAGGCTAGACAGGGGCCAGTCCCTCAGCAGCAGCCTCAGCGTCAGTATGCCGAGCCAGCAGCAGCCCCAGCTCCCGATAATCAGATGACCGATCTGAAGAATATTTTGGCGGCATTCATGACCACCAGCCAGGCGAATTTCACAAGGGTGGACCAGAGCATAGCCTCTCTGGAGGCAGGACAGAGGAACCAGGGTGCTATTCTGCAAGATTTACAGAACCAAGTCGGTGCCATAGCGCGCCAACTTACTGCCTGGGCACCGGGGACTCTGCCTGCCACCACCTTCCCCAACCCTCGAGAGCCGCACGAGCAGCTGGATGCCATCTTCACCAGGAGTGGCAGGCCCACATCGGCTGATCCTGCCCCGACCAGGCAGGAGGAACCACTACATGCTTCAGCACTTCTAGCCGATGATACAGAAGTGCGGGTGGAGAAGGAAGCCCCTGCTCCCAAGCCACAACCAGTGGTTAAGGAGCACGTACCTCAGCTTCCCTTCCCCACTCGCCTACACAAAGACAAGCTGGAGACTGAGTTTGCCAAGTTTATGGCAATGTTGAAGCAGCTCAACATCAGCATACCGTTTGTGGAGGCACTGTCGAAGATTCCCAAGTACGCAAAGTTCATGAAAGACCTCCTCACCAACAAGAAGAAACTTGAGGATCTCTCGACAGTGCTGCTGAGCGAGGAGTGTTCTGCTATCCTGCAGAACAAGCTGCCCGAAAAGCGCAAGGACCCAGGGAGTTTCACTATCCCTCTTACTATTGGCAGCATGCATGTAGGCAAGTCCTTGGCGGACGTAGGCGCTAGCATAAACGTCATGCCATATAAGTTGTTTAAGAAGCTAGACCTAGGTGAACTTAGCCCTACTAGGATGAGCATTCAGCTAGCTGATCGTTCCGTTGTGCATCCTAGGGGTATCATAGAGGACCTGATTGTTAATGTGGGTGCACTCACATATCCTGTTGACTTTGTTATTCTGGATATAAATGAGGATGTGGATGTGCCTTTGATTTTAGGGAGACCATTTCTTGCCACCGCCAAAGCACTTATTGATGTGCATGATGGTAAACTGATACTGCGTGCTGGAAATGAACAGGCTACCTTTGCTGTGACTGAGTTCGATCACTGTGCTATGATTGCTGTCACACCTGTGCATGCTATTTCTGACCCGGTACACGAGCCTGTCGTGTATCCTTCTGCACCTCTCATTTGGCAGGATCCCCCTCTCACTCCTTCGTCGCCGCTCCCTCCAGCCTCACCACCGAATAAAAAGCTTAAAGAGGACTGGCGGCCGAAGCAGCAGGTGCCTAAGCCTACTCGGAAGAAAGGTGGAGTCCACTGTGAGCTGGTCCCACCTCCTGCATCACGATCACCCTGGCCATCCGCGTACTCACTTGCCTACATTCTTCCGGATGGCCAGGTCGAGCTAACCAATGCTGGTGGTTGCACCCGTAGGGTGCACGGTCACCACCTGAAGCTGTACCTCAAGAGCGATGTGGATCCTCTCTTGGAGTCACCTGTTCCTGCACTCCGCTGAGTATCCACCATGGGCGTCCAGCTACAAGATGGTAAAGAAGCGCTTGTGGAGAGGCAACCCCGCCACGGTTTTCATTTTTTTCTTTTGTTTTGGGTCGGATTGCCAATAGCTTTGGCTTTGGTTTGTTTTCTTTTGTTGTGGATGATGTAATATTGGGCTGACCATTGGACCTAACGTATTGTGTTGGAGTTCTTTTGTTCCCTTTAGTTGTGCCTGTGTACCTGACTGGTCCTCTCTCCAGTCCGTTTCATGCCGACTGGTCCATTTCCAGTCTCCTGCCGTCTGTGCACACCGATAACATCGTTCCCCTTTCCTTCCCTCTTCTCCATTGAGGGCAATGTCGATCTTAAGTGTGGGGGGGGGGGATGTTTATCTTTTGACTGCATTAGATCTGTTTGTGTGCTTGGAGCCTAGTCCACTGTCCAAATTTTTAAAATTTGAGGGCTCCAAGTACGTGTTCCTTGCAATTGCCTGCTCAGTATGCTTTGAATTGACAGTCTCTGTAGTGATTTGCAACCTAGGGAGGTAGTGTAGCACTATGGAGGATGTTGATGCATTTAAGATGTCTCATTTCTTCTTCATACTGTGTTGGTTGATTGAGTGAATTAGTGATCTTAGGACCCTTGAATTGTGTGGTGTTGTGGACTCTCTGCCTGTCAAGGACTCTTGTATCATGTTTTGAAAATAACAGGTGCTCGAAAATGTGCTTTAAAATAACGTCTCCCGTGCGAATAGGGCGAAAGTGTGTAAGGGGAGACAGGAATCCGTTCCCAATTTCCACCTACTACCTCCAGCCCCCTTACATGTCTTTCCCCCGAACGAGGCTCGAGACACCCGCTCCTGGCATGGCCGGTAAGAGCCGGGCTCCCGCAAAACCTTTGCTAGGTGGGAGCCCTCGTTTTCTGAAAAAACAGGTTGGAACCCTAGGAAAAAAAAGAAACACAGAAAAACAAGCAAAAAGAAGAAAGAAAAGAGGTTGCAACCATCTTCAAGAGGAAAATCGGGCACCTTGAAAAAATGTGAGTCCATGATCTTTTGTTTTTGAGAGTCTCTTCATCCACGATTCATTTGTCCTCTGTTCACTATTTGCCATGATGCCGACTCGAGACTAGTGCTCTCGCCGAAGAAGCTATGAGATGACTTGTGCGTCGGTTGACCTCGTAAGCTGCTAAATGATCTAGGAAGTCCTCTACCTACGATCGAGGTTGTTTGTTGCTATAGAGGTCTGGAGAGTTGCATTGGTTTGAGTTAGGTTTGCTTGGGGACAAGCGAACGGTTAAGTGTGGGGGAGTTTGATAGACCGATAATTACACATGTTTTCACCCCTTTTCTGGAGCCGTTTGAGATGTGGGTTCTCGTGTTTTAAGCCGATTTCACGCGAGGTTGTACGTTTGTGTCATATTTCAGGACTTGGCGGTGGAATCGAGGCAAAGGAACGAGATTTGGGTCGAAAGGAGCAAGTAAGGCTTGGAGTGTGCTGGAGAGCCAGAATACCCGACCAGGTATTTTTTGGCCATGGTCGGGTATTTCCCACTTTGGGCGTCCATGAGAAACATAAGGGGGCCCGGGCAGGAGGCTTAAATCCCCGGTCGGGGATTAATGGTCATGACCGGGGATTTTCCCTTCACTGAAGCGGCGCGTTTTGAGCATACCCGGTCGAGACCCAAAATACCCGACCGGGTATTTCGACCGGGTATCGCGATCAGGCAGCAGATTTAAGGGAAAGGAAGGCTAACATTCAAGGGTTCCGAGTTTTTGAGAGAGAAAGCGATTCCTAGAGAGAGAAAGCGACGAACCAGAGTTCCCAAGTGCCATAGCTTGATCTTCATCACCATTGGAGCCCGGCTTGAGCTTGGAGAAGTGCCGATTAACGTCCAGGAGCATAAATCCATCTTCACAGTATGATTTCCGCGTCTAAATCTGCTTTTGCTTCTTTCTCTGTGGAGTAGTTTCCCCATTCAGCTGGGTATGGGGAACCCTAGATTTGTATGCTAGGTCTGATTGTATGAACCCAAGTACAGAGTTTGTGAATTGATTATATTCGATTGAGGTTTGAATGATTGAATGACTTGAATCCTGATCAAATTCCTGTTGTTTCTGCTTTGACCTAGAATGAGAATATCTTCCTAGGTTGATAGAGTATCCTTAATTGAAGGTAGCGAATTGGTGACTTTAGTCGAGGAGCCAATTCGCTATTCTGTACCGAATTCAATTCGGTAGTGGAGGTTTGGCTCGTTAGGGCCTCAATCTGTTTACTCCGGTGGAGGTTAGTCGCCCGCTAGAGACTCAGATTGAGAGGGTCTGAAGACCTTTAGTCGAGACTTCAGACTATTTAAGAACCTTCCGCAGTATAACTTTCATGAAAACTGAACTTGGTAAATTGCAATCCGGCTTAACGGCAGTCTAGGGGGAACCATATCCGGGTGACCTCTCTTAACCTGAAAACAACCGTTTAGTTGCTTTGCTTGCTTGTTAGTTTAGACCTTCACTAAAGTTTCATTGCTAGATAATACGAATTCACTGAGTAGTCATCATATCTAGGACCCGGGTTGACATTAAAACCCAAACCCGCTATACTACGCTTTAGGAAGTGGTTACACTTGGCCATTTTCTAGAGTGACAGTAGGAGTGAGTCACCTTCATAAGATCTATTTTAATAGCACACCTCGAGGAGATATTATGATGAGAATACTTATAGACTAGCTCATGAGCCAACATAATGTTCTCTCCTATAAGCCTTCCTTTAACAAAAGCAGTTTGATTTTTGCTAATCAGAGAAGGGAGAGGAGGGCTAAGCCTATTAGCAATGAGCTTTGAAATACACTTATACAGTATATTGCAACTGGAAATGGGTCGAAATTTTTTCATTTCATCAGGGTTAGGGACTTTAGGAATAAGGGAAAGGATGGTAGCATTCACTGGTCTAGGGATTCTATCCTGTTCAAAGCAGAATTTAATAGCAGAGGTTACCTCAGGTCCAATGAGAGGCCATGCATACTGAAAGAAAGCCGCAGAGAATCCATCAGGTCCTGGACTCATGTCTCCATCCATCACAACTAATACTTCCTTGATCTGATCATCAGTGAAAGGATCACACAGCCCTTCAGTCTGCTCCCCATTAAGCTTATTTTTCAGCAAATCATCAAAATAACTATCTGACTGTTTCATAACCTCAGGATCAACCACCCCCAAAAGTGACTCATAAAACTTGACTGCAATTTGAGCCATCCCTTCTACATCATGAATTTGATCCCCTGACTCATTTCTTAGCATTCTAATAGTGCATTTTTTCTGTTTTGATATGACTGAACGATGGAAATAAGCAGAATTCATATCACCTGTTTTGAGTCAACTCTCTCTTGATTTCTGTTTATAAAAACACTCCTCAGCATCCATTAAAACGTTAAGCTCCTGCCCTAGCTTCCTCTCAGCTTCAAAGTAAGCAGTAGAAGGGTCACTTAGAGCCAACTACTGAATATTTTGCACCTCTGCTTCCTTCACCTTGACTCTTTCTCTGATATCAGAGTACTCTTCTTTGTTCAACTTCCTTAATAAGTTCTTCAGGTTTTTCAGCTTTTGGCAAACTCTTATCAAAGGATGGTGACTTGTTACTGTAATTCTCCAAGCCTCTTCCAACAATGCATCAAAACGAGGATGATGCATCCAAAACTTGAAGAACTTGAACGGCTTCAGGAGTGACTTTAAAGAGGCTGATGTATCCACAAACATAGGGCAATGATCTTAAACACCTGGAGTTTGGAAATGAACCTTGTTATCATTAATTTTATCCATCCAAGGAAAGTTAATCAGGACTCGATCAAGATGTTTAGCAATAGGGTTGGTTGTCTGCTTGTTTAACCAAGTGAACCAGGGTCTAGTAGCCTGATGTTCTTCCAACTCATTATCAGTTATCCATTCAATAGACAAGGTCATTGCAGTATCCACTCTGGGGGAATTTGAAGCCTCTGCAGGGTGCGTGATATCATTAAAATCTCCAAGTACGATCCAAGGATCAGAAGAGACTTTAATCCTCCTGAGATCATTATATAGGATTTGCCTACCACTCTCATCATTGGAAGCATAGACAACAGTACCAAAGAAAGGCTGTAGCCCCCCAACCATAAACTGAATGAATTGATCTGAAGAATGAAGGACAGTAAGTTGTATATCCTTCTTCCACAGCAATCAAATCTTCCCCAGACCAGCCTGGTTATATTTCACCTTATTCATCCAATCTGGGAACCGCTTAGCTATCAACTTATCTGTCTCAGTACTCTTAATTCTAGGTTCAAGTATGGCTACTATATCAATACTATATTTATTTACTTTCTTTAATAACGCTGTATACTTACTATCAGCCTTAAACCCTCTTGTGTTCCATGTAAGAATCTTCATTTCTTCCCTCTGCCTTTCCCCCTTCCCCTTTTTAGGTTGAAGAGGAACCAACGGAGAGTCCACCCACACTTTTTTTCCCTTGTCAGGTGGCTTCCTGTTTTCTTTGCCCATGCTAGAACCTAATGCTTCTTCCTGAGTTTGTTGACTCAACAAGCTCCCAGCAGGATGCTCACTAGCAGGAGGACTCCCACTCACTGGTGGTGATCCTCGCACTATCTGAGAAAAACTCAGTGGAGAGCTCCAAGTAGGATTAGGAGCCAAACCCTGGGTAGCGCTTGAAGTTAGAACAGTCTCCACAACAGTTTCCACTACCTCAACTGCCGCATCAAAAGTTGGATTCACACTAACTATATCTCCTCATCCTTACTAGCTTCATAGTTCCCCATAGGTGACACATTCCCATTCCCATCAGCAACGTTTTCTCGAGAAATAACCTCTTTAGAACTACTCACAACTACAATACCAGTTTCTTCACCAACCATATTTGTGGTAGATTCCCTTGTCACAGCAGCACCATCCTGCATCCCTAGAATTGATTCTTTAACTCTCCGCTGCATCTGAGGTTCCCTATGACAGTTGTGACCAAAAATACAGCACTTAGGACAAACCCTAGGAAGTTGCAGATACTCAACTCCAATCTCGAAATCCGGATCATTGTCTGGGTACAGACGGATTCGAGAGGGGAACTCATTATCAGCTGCTAGCTCAATACAGACTTTGGAAAACCCTAGTCGATCCCCAAACCGAGTTTTTTGATCAGTCCAAAGCGGTCGTCTGATTATACTAGCAACCCCTTCAATCCCATCCTGCCCCAAATACTCAAGAGGCAAACCCCAAATCTTGACCAAAATCAGCAGGGTTTCTACTTTCGGAACAAGAGGCTGGATACCCGCTTCCCATTTACGAAAGAAGACCGGATTCCCCCTGAAATGCCACGGCCCCGATTTGAAAACCCAGTCCCTCTGAAATCGACGAAAATTGAAATACCTGAAGTTTAGGACCAAATCGTGAAACACGAACCGTGTCATCTCTTCCCCAAAGGCGGTTTGCCCAAGACTGGAGCTACCCTAGGACACTTCCCGACGAACTGTCCGATGAGGGACAGTTTCCATCGCTCCGCGCCCTTCTCCTTAACCGTCTGCGGAATCCGAAACCCATCCTTGACTCTCTCTGGAGGATGATACAAGTCTCTTTTCCGACGCCACAGAGAATAGATGAGCCCAGGAGGAAGAACCCTCGCCAGCCGGTGCTGGTGCCGATGGCGAGGCTGCCATCGCGAAAAGGGTTTCAATCAGAGATCGAGAAAGGAGAGAGAATGAGGAGAGAGAAGTCGACCGGTAAATCACAACATATTAAAAGTTGTAGTTAGTATTTTTTTTTTGTATTCTAATAGTTTTTCAGCCAAACACTCAATTTAAAAAAAAAACACTTTTATAAAAGCTCAAGTCGGAAGTTGCTTCTGCAAAAGCTATCGCAGAACTAAACTAGCCTAATATTTATAGCTAATTGTAATATATGAATATGATGGACATGGTCATACATAGGGGTGGAAGTTTGGGTTGCAGGTTGTAGATAATCCGCAAACTGCACCAACCCGCACCTAATGTGGGTAATCATACCCACAAGTTGCGGGTAGTGGGTTGGATGTGGGTAGTAAAATAACAATTTTTGTGGTTAGTGGTTATCCACTATCCATCGCGGTTAAGCCACAAAATCCACAATAACCACATAATTATATTTATTTAGTTAATTAACTTTATAATATAATAGTATGTGAAAAGTGCGAGGATAAAAATTAAAGTAGCCACCAAATAAAAAAGACACACCTAATCAGTTTTATGTAAGAATTTTTTAGTTTATAAAACACTATAATCGATAGAGTGGAGAATAATCAATTCATTAAAAGTGAACACCTTTTGTAACTTTTATCAGTATGTTTTTGCTTTTGTGTGAAAAAAATACAAGATAATATTTAATTGTCATATTTCACAACTAGTCGGGGAAATATGAAATCACAACTCTCTGACACAAAAGTTGAATACCAAACTCAAAAAGAAAAATCTCCACGTTGAGTAAGATCGATGTACAAAATTGTATCTCCACGAACAACACAAGTGTATATCACTATAGTCTAGTTACGAACAACAAATACGTTAGTGCCGACTAAAATTCTGTACTTGCAAAGATGGATTTTTGCGGGTAACCACACCCAACCCGCACATAGATGTGGGTAACATAATTGTAAATTTATAGATGTGGGTATCCGCAAAATGTGGGGCGGGTAAGCACACCCACCCCAATTTCCACCCCTAGTCAAAGATATGGTGTGTTAACCAAGACCGTTAAGGGGTATCAGCATTTGTAAGTTTGGATTTATTTGGAAGGACTAGTAAGCCGGGCTGTGGATGCAGCAATTGACATCAGGCCCTGACATCTTTGAGGCCCATTTGAAATCAAGTTAAGCAGTACTAGGGTACAACATAAGATCTTCTGGAACTACGAGGATGTGGATTGGTGGGTGATTCTCATGAATTCACTTTGTGTTTCTCAAGAATGTGTATTTGATAGGTTTGTTTTACATACCCCGGCCCGTTGGCCGGTTGCAATATGATAACAGTAATGGACAAACAGAAACAAAAAAAAAGTGAAATGGGCAAATGGCTAAGATGAACATATTTATCAACAATTTTATTGAATTGAGTAATAGTTCTGCTTCATAGAGTTGTCTTCATCATAATACATTTTCTCTACTTGAATTGAGACTTACAACTTTAATTAAACCATGCAATTTTAAAACCAAAAGTAATACCTTAAGATGGTATGTCGCGTGGTTGGACATATATAACATATTTATTACACGTATTTTAAGAAATTAAACTGATAATTTATTGTTTTATTTTTATTTTTAAATTATATGTTTCTCAAATTTTATTATTGATATCAAAATTCTAAATATTATAATAATTTAGAATAGCGTATAAAACTTTGTACATATGGCAACACACCTATAACTTTTTTTATTAACACAGCACCAAACTTTATCAGCAATCAATAATACATTCATGGCTATCGTATATAAACTATAAAATGCTAGCCAAATGGAGGTTATGGAAATTTTGTTTTTAACTTTTTGTAGAAGGGGAACTCTAACACGGCGGGCTGCAGAAAAGAGTTAGCATTTGATTGTTAATGAGTCTTTAGATTGCAATTTATATGTACCTCCTTTATATTCCTCG